AGTCAGCGGCAGGCAGGAGGTGTAACTCCAGCATTATAAACTACTTCGGCACCTCTAAGCAACCTTTACATAGATTTAACAAATTTCAAGAGATAAACACTACTGAGATATCTTATACTATCTTAATGGTAAACTGATTTTTTTGTTTGTTTGTTGAATTGCCCCGGTTAGTTCTTGCTACTTAAGTATGTTTGGAGCTGAGATCATAATATTCAGAGTCCTTTCAATATCTGTCTTAAATTAATATAAGCCCACTAAATGGTATGCCAAGTGGTATTACAGTAATCGATGGACTGTTTCACTGTGTTCATTCCCTTTCTTACACACTGTCAATCCTGGATTCCTTTCTATAGTGCAAAGGTTTAATATAAGTAGGAGAGAACAGCCTTACTCCGCTGAGTTCACAGCTCTACACCTTCTTTTGAAACAACACACAGGGATAAAAGAATTTGCAGTTCAGAGAGTGAAGGGATACTGTCCAGGGTATCAGAAGAGCTGAGTTCATGTTTCCTCTGATTCAGAAAAAACTTAACAGTGCTGCATCTATGCACTATTCTATCAAAGGGCAGCAGACCTTCCCTGTTTCAGTGTACACACTCCACATAAGGTGGGCACATTCTAAGAATGCTTTCCGAAGCGAGCCCTCTCTTGGGAGTTGTAGAAATAAAACTGTACTGTACCAGTGATTTGTTCCTGCAGGCTGTTCTCACTGTCAAGGGCTGAGAAACTTTTTGTGATCCTCAGAACCAGAACTTTAGGTGCCTCAGAAACTTTATGTTTTAAAAAAGATTAGTTGTCTGCAGAGTTTAGACAATTCCAAGGTGAGGCCTAAGATTTATCACAATCAAGCTAGCAGTAAACACAGCTCCTTATTTATTTTCATTAATAAATTAATAAGTAAACTTCATTATGGTCTGCCTATATATATGTATGTGTATATATATGTATGCGTATATGTATGTATATATGTACACACATACTTGACATCCAGTCACACAACACGCGCTCTGTCTGAAAATAACGGACCTAGTATATTTTAATGAACTTAATATGATTAACTATTGAAGTTTCCAGCGTAAACAGTACTACTATTATTTTTAGAAAGCATTAGCATGAAACAGAATTCTAAATTTGTTCACAAGATATACAATATTCTTATGGGATAGTGCAGCAGGTCCTGCTCAGCTGGTTAAACCTTAAAAAAACAGTAGTGTAACAAACTTGGCATAACCACTTAGGACACTGTACATCATAGCTAACTGGGCTAACCAGTATCTCAGTTCTTGCAGTTTTTATATTAACCAATGGAAATCAGTCAAATGGTTAGTTATGCCAAGTTCTCACAAAAATGTGCAGTAAAAAACTAGAGTTAACAAAATCCCTTCTTCCCAAAGTTAAAAATAACTACCCAAATTGAAATATAACTAAAACTGTTTTCAATGTGTTTGCTTGTTTTACATAGAGTTAAAAAAAATAATGTAGTAACAGATTGAGCCTTCCTCCTTAAAAAAAAAAACAACACACAAAGAAGACCTGATGACACAATACAAAGAAAACAAACTTTTTCCAATTTTTTTTCAGTGCCAAGTAAAAATTTATGTGAGACATGAGAAATTACTTGTAAATTAGCTCGTGTAAAGGCAATAAAAAACAGCAAGGTTTTTTGAGCAGTAAACACCTTAGAATAAAGTTATTGAAAATCATAAGCCTATTTCTACTTGGACAGATAATAAAAATAGAATATGAGATGAGGAACTCTGATAAAATACTATGAAACTTCTTACGAGAAGATGCAAACAATAACTGAGTAATTGCACTTCATACAGCATAGGCATAGAGAAATTCAGGTCCCCACCCAGAGCCTTTTTGATCTTTAAGTTCTCCAGCTTAAGTTGCCAAGTAATGAAAGAGCAGCATCATCTTCCCTGGACTGAGATGCTCTAAGAGTCCTCAGTCAAATGGTTGAGCTCTTTGCAGCCTTTGACTATAATTAAGATCTCACAGGCCAAAGTTTTGGAATCATAGAGGAAAAAATTCTCAGTTTTGCAGGCCAGAAAGGCCTGGAGGCTGTGCACACAGTCACTTTAGCCAAACTGGACATCCACCCTTGCTGCTGATATTGCAAAATAAATTCCATTCAATGCAGCCACACTCAACAAATTTGACTGCCTGGTGGGATGCCTAAAACTCCAAACATCATGGAAGTACATTAGTCTACAGAGACAGAAATTCTGATTACTAGCACTCCTCAAGGAGGCCCAGCCTGTATGACCCATAAGGCACACAGTTCACAAAGCCAGGCAGCCATCTGAGCTTGTTCTGAACTGACATCCCCAGTGGGGTCCATCATAAAATCAAACACACGTGTCTTGTGATGCAGAAGGGATGGCAAAGTTCTCAGAAAGATGTCAGTTGGAAGAGGATTCTCCTGTCATAAAGATTAACTCAGCCCCTTCTGCCCATGTGTAACAGACCCCCAGGAAAGGCAGCCATCAGGATTCTTACTGCTCCTGCACAGGAACACAGTTCTGACACCCTCTCTCCTGTTCATCCACTGCAAGAAGGCAGAGGTTCGTATATGCTCCACTACGGTGGAATGCATGCTTCCACATATGCATATGGTATATATAGTGCATGCATCCAGAAATGCATGAAGTCTGTTTCTAGGATGAGAAAAAGCACAGCAGCGTGCTACCTTTGCAGTCTGGATACACCAGCCAGAAGAGTTGGGCTTCTGCAGTCTAGCACATCTACACGGCACGGTAACAGTGAGGAGTAATTCAGATCTGGCTCATTTTTGCTATGTGGTATTTTCCTGCAAAAGGCAGAAGGTTGTCTGCTGAATATGGAGAATGCAGATTGAAGACCTGCACCTCAGCTGAGAGTACTAAATAAGTCACTGTAACTTTATCAGGTTTGAAGGTGTGCACCTTCCCTTGGACTTGCACAGCCAAGTTTCATGACAGGCTCTGCTGCAGGTGATGTTTTCTGATCAAGACTCTAACACAGTGACAGCCCCCTTGCACCACACTGAAGCTAAGAACTTCGCTTCTGAGTGTTCAGTTTCACGAGCTTGACATTATTTTAAGATAGCTTTTTCCTACACAGTCTGAACCGAGAATGAACACACATTGTGACAGAATTTAAACGCCTTACTTTATTTTGTGGATGGTTCTGTTTATTCTCTCTTTCCTTTTTTTTCTTAGCTATAATGACATTTTGCAGGTCTTTTCAAAATCAGCATTTTACTTTTCTTGTCAGCAAGGATGAGGGTGAAGTAGTTAAGATAAACGATTGGAACTCTGCCATCCAGGTGGACTGTCAGCATGTTAAAAAACAGATTGAAACTGGGAAGGAACTAAGTGAAAATTTATGCTCTGTTGGCTGCTTCTCATTAAGAAACATTTGCTCATGAATCTTACATTTTCAGTCTGGATTGCACTGAGTGATAAGAGCATGACATCATAGTCTTTTCTGAATTGGAGAGTAACATCTGAAAAAAACAACTCTACAAAGAATAAAGGGTTTAATTCTTTTTTTCACTCTTTGTTTTATTTAAAAAAAATTAAATAGCATTTTCACCAGCTGTATTTATCTTTTTTATAAAACCCAAGCCATGCCTTGGAGAGGGTGCATTGAGTCTCAGTGACCTCCAGAGGACTATGTCTCTTCTATGCTTCCTTCAGTGGATTTTGGTATCTAATTCTACATTTCTCAAGAGGTTGGTGGCTTTCAGAGGCTTTAGAATTCCTATCTGAATAGATCATAAGTGTAAGCTTACAAGAAAGTGCCACTCACTGGCCTTATGAAAATCAAGCCTCCAGCTAGTTTTATAGATCTTTATCTATAGAGAGCAAACCCACAAAATAAACTAATTTTGAAAATATAAACCTCTGAGTATTTTTTTCTTTTGGGAACAAAGAAATCACTCTTCGCTTCTTTACTGATATATTAACACTATTTAATGACATCGTATTCAACATGTACCAAAAGCATTTGATATTTCTATAACTGAAAAACTGGAAGTGAAACTACTGAAGTTCGTTTCTCCTGAGTAAATCGAGAAAACAGTTAGTTGAGCAGTTAAGGCCTTGGAGATCTGGGCTCTGTTTGCAGTTCTGTCATGACATGGAAAGAGACCCCATAAATGGATTCCTCTGCATGAACCTCCCTACCTGTAAGAGATCTAATTTTCCCTTGATCTGAAGGGGACCTTAGATCATGGACTGGAAGAGAGGGATGCATATTCCTTTAGAAAGAACTGACCTGTGCCACAGTTTGCCAGGTAGTAGCATCATCCTCGCTTGGATGGATTCCTTGATTCCACCTTCTCTGAACAACATAGATCACAGGCTCAATGGAAATATTGAATTTTGAGGACCACTTCACCTCCAGGTCTCCAGACTGAAGTTCTATGAATTTTAATTCTTTCCGGGGTTTCAGTGGAACACCTGTAATAGGATCATGCAGACAAAAATATGCGAGTAATTTACAAGGTATGATTAAACCATATGTATATGAAGCTGTATAAAAAACAATTATAAAACATAGGAAGTTTGTTGGTCAGACAAAAGGAAAAAGGGGGAAAAGGACAGGCTGATGAACATGACTTTCAGTGCTCACAGCTGATCTATCTCTGCTAAAAGTAAAAAGTTTTCTTAAAAATCTTCAAAATTATTTCTTCATTTCATTAAAAGCTAAAGGATCTAAAACTTGTAAGCTAAAACTGATCTCACAGAAAACACTTTCCAAATATGCTTTGATAACCTGGAGAAACATCCCTTTCATCCCAAGCAGAATCAGCTATACCTGTTCAGCCTTCCACTTCATTTGTCCGTAAACACATCTAATGACACAATTTCCACAGCATCACATGGTAATCCATTCCACTACTTCTCTATCTTCACGGCTAAAAAGCTTTCTCGCCACCTTGTTTAGTCTCCTCTGTTGCATCTTGAACTCGATTCTTGTCCATGATGTTCATGGATCGTGGAGAACAGATTCTTTCTTTCATCTATGGAGGAGCCTTTTATGTACCACAAGCCTGTTAACCATGCCTCTGAACGTGTCCTTCTTCACTCTAATAACCACAGAGCCCTCCATTTTCCTTTTAAATCACAGTTTCTAGACCTCTGATCATTCTTCTAGTTGTCTCTGGAAACACCCTCGCTGGCCCACAGCCCTTCTCCAGAGTCAAGCCTAAAATGGGACACAGACTGTGTCCAAGCAGTTACCAGTGTAGGCTAGAGAAGCAGGATTATTTCACACATCTGATATTAGTCTGATAAACTTAGGAAGGCTGTCTGCCTTCTCCATGGCAGCAGGATCTTATTGACTCACACGCAGCTGTACTGTATGATGTGTCACTCTCCACTCTTCCCCGAACATCTAGGAAAGGTAATTCCAAGGCATCTTGGAATGGATATGTTATATCTAATGTATATTGTTCAATTGTTACATTTCAGAGACAAAGATGTCTTTCTAAAATTTTACAGCAATTTCTCATTACATAGTGACACTGAAGGACAGTTATTTCTGTTGTTTCTACTGCTGGTAACATCACCTTTTTGAGAATATCTGCAGTAGCTTGAAGGAAAAAACAACTCTTCAAATCTGGCATCTTTTGATTAAAACAACAAATCAAGTGTAAGATACATTTCTCTAGACAGACTTTAGGAAGTCATATATTTGAGTGCACAGCATTTTGTCACTTCAGGATATGTCACAAATAAGACTTCTTTGCTGGCATATAAAATTTCTTAGCAAGTTATTGTATGCACTTTAGTTATTTTTAGTTATTTTTAGTTATTTCAGTGGGTGCTCACATAAGTCCAGCTGTACGTGTTGGTTCAATAAATTGTTTCCGACTCAGTCTGCCACAGATGACTAAGTACCAAAATTTCCTTAAATGATTAAACTATTTCATATTTTAAGGGTTCTTGTCCTAAATCTGATTACACAATTAGCTGTAAGTAAATAAAAATTGATATTGTAGCCCTTGAAGAAACCTAAAATCAACTTGAGGAAAACCCAGTACTTAAATCTGGTTTTCACATCAGTTTAATCCCTGGGTATCCCTCAACAGGCAGCACTCTTAGACTAATATAATGAACACCAGAGAACATGTCAGTTCGGATTTTCACATCTGAAAATCCTTCTCTAATTATGATGCACAATAATCCTACAATTTGCATGTTAAAAAAACTCTCATCTGCTTTGCATTAGGGGCAGTTGGATTCACTTGATTGCAAGTATCTCAGCCTCTCCGCTGTTACGTAATTGCGTGCAGATGGAGCGCAGCAGCACAAACAACAAGAGCACAGCACAAGTGTATTTTAAAATACTTTTGTAGGACCAGCACCATCAATTTTATATCCAGATGTGTAGATCCAATCACCCTTCAATGTGCTTTTTATTATGTAAATGGCCAGCCCTTTCATCCTTCTGGAACAAATTAGTCCTGTTAAGTCTGCAGTGCTTAAGTGAAGCATTCAAATCACTGATTGCTCTGCGTGTGCAATACCAGAGCCCAGGAAAAATGTTTCTGAAGGTGTCTTTCATATGGCACATGCATCTCCGTGTCATCATAAGAATCTTTATCTTAAATGTTGGTTCCTCAGGAATTCAAAAAGTGTCCGTGGAAGGGTTTCAACAATAAAGGCATCAGTACGACTGTCAAGAGTTGCTCAGAGTCGCAGAGATGTGCACCTTTAAAATTGTACACTACTTTTTTAATACAAATCTATTTTTATTTAAGCATGAAAAGAGCCTTTAAACTGAGGATGACCATCTGCCTCCAGCTATCCTATTAAAATACTGTCATACCATCATACCCTTTAATTGTCCTAATCTTCTCTTCACAATTTACATTGCCCAGATCTGCAGTTTGGTCTGCTGTATGGACTGCTCCCTCACACGTTTCAGACAGAATTAGTTAGGCTAATTTAGACAGCATGAACACTGAATCTTGGTTAAAAACTGGTCCTGGAAAGTTCACACAAGTAGGTGTCTCATCACATCTGAGAGACCACTAACTTCTGAACAGGAAAAAGGTGATGGGTATTTCTTTTCAGCTGTCACCAGCTGAGTGTAGAAAAAGATACATATCCTTGTCCTTACTTGCTGATGAATATGTGCACGTTAGACAAAGCGATGCTGATCAAGCGTTTTTCCATCCCTTTATCTGCCTTCCTTTTGCTTCTGCATTTTTAAACTGTTTTCTTTCTAAGCTGAGATATGGCCCCCATTTCTATCTCTAAAGTACCAAACCTACTTTAGGCACTTACTGTTATTTATAACATCCTGATGTCTATATAGAAAAACAAAAAGGTAGGCCATGGAGATGGGACACTTTCGGAAGTACTTCCCTAGTTGAGACGACGTAAAGGAGGTGGATGAGGCAGATGACAGAAGAGTAGGAGACAACATTGATATCTCCAATAAGAGAAAATAAAAATGTAAGAACTATGAAACTGATCAGTAATACTCTCAACAGAGATGAAAAAATACAATGGCAGTGGTCAATTTGAAGATTATAGTGCAAGCAAGCCAATAACAAGTTAGGATAACAAGTATCTGAACTTATGTTAATCCAACAACATCTGCAACATAGGACTTTGGTGCAAGTGTACTTACATTAACATTCTTTTAGGACTGGGCTTTAACACTCAGTACTAGGGGACAAATCCAGTTTGTAAATCCAGCAAATCAGATGGGTATTTTATACCTGCTGTTGTAACTCATCTCCAGAGCCTGATCAACAGTGAAACTATAGGAACTTCTGTAGACTCTTAGATTCAATCTGACTTCATTTTCTAGCTGTGACTGCTGTCAAAATCATAAGAATAAGTACTAAACTTAACTCACTAGATCTTAGTCATGCTTGCAGAGTTTATTTTTCCTTAGTGACAGGAAGGTCATTTACTCCTGGAGGAAATGAATAGCAAGCCTGCCCTGCTTCTATTTGTCCTTTGTTGCAGAAAGACAGGTTGAAGAGGCTAATTAGCTGAATTCATCATCAGAGAAAGCAGTACAGTATTGGGCTTGCCCTTCCTTTGCAAGACATTAATGCTCTTGCAAGCAAGCATCTCCTGCAGACAGGTGATAAGACGTTAGGGGTTAGTTCTGTACCTATATCATTAGGCTGAACGGCAGCACTTTCCAGTGTGCAGTTACACAATGTAGCATATCATATCCGTGTCCTTTTCGACAGCACGTCATTTGTGTGTTTATTTGCTTGTCTGTTTTGTTTTTACCTCTTCCAGCTGTTACATTTACTGGAATGCTTTGTATTTGTGGTATGGAGCCTGATGTGTAAATCATTACATATACAGTACAAATATCAGTTTATCACCCTGGTCATTTGTCTCAAGAAGATGGAAGAAAACTAAGCGATTCATTTCAATAATTTTCGTTTTAAAGGTGCAGTTTTATTATAAGAGTGTATTAATTCCTTATAGTTTCAAATGGGCTGCTCTGAAGTCTCTTGGAAGCAAGAGAATTTCCCTTTCGCACTAGAAATCTAGAGCACAGTATGGCCTGCAGTTCAAAATATTTTGAGTAATATCTTCATCAGTTTTAAGCTTACTCAACCTCTATGACTTCTAGATCAAATTTTTTCCATTTATCTAAGTAAATAAGACAGTGCTTCCTGATGGTCCATCCTGTACACTCAAAGACAGGATTCAAAAGCCAGAGCACATTATTTCTGACATACATTCTCATCACTAGGGACATCCAAAAAGATGCATCAACATTTCAGTTAAAGCAATGAACTTAAAAATAAAATCACCATCTCCTTCACATATTTCACCACTTTTCCATCCACAGATGGAAGTAAGCCTGGATTCGGACCTAAGCTTGGAGCTTAGTTCAGAGTTGTGCTGATTAGGGTCCCCACAGAGAGCCCATGCTATGAGAAGCATAACTGATTAGTATTTATTTTTTGTCACTGAAATATAGAGAATGGGTATCTAACAAAACATTACAACTCTGTGGAACAAGAAAATGCCTTTCATAAATGCTCACTGTTGTGTGTTAGGTGCACACTTTCAGACTATGTCCATGTATAAAGCTTTTTATAATTCCAACAAAGTAAAATCTAGAGTTTGTCTAAGTCTGTATGTTCCAGCTGATGGATGTCAAGGAGAACCTTTTTCATAGGATCTCAGAACACAATTCAATTAAAAACTTTTTAATAAGATTTCCTTAGATTTAAAGAATGAATTAATAAATATGTGGATATTATAATTCGTCACTATTTCATTCTTAGGTCATTAAGACAACGAATGCCAAACATACTGCATTGACTCCCCCTCTTACCAGATTATCTCACACTTTGTATTTGGTAGCCCTACCTGCTTGACTTATAATCATAAATGTTATCTGTGATTAACAGGACTTGAGATATTTATCATTAAATATTTTCCTGCTGCATTCTCTCTCATATGCATCAAATGAAGTAAGATTTCACCTAAATTGGCAAGTTTGTTCTGCTTAAGATGATTCATAATAGCCACGTATTTACATTCCACAGTTTTCCAGACATTAGCTTCATAAGGGGGAAAAAAAAAAAAAATTCAGAAAGTGAAGCAACATTTTTCTTTGGCTTCCCACCCTTTCAGTATCCAGCGTCTCAGAGGCAACTCTCTCTCTCTTCTTCTTCTCATCCATGCAAACTCCTAAGAATGAAACTCCTGTTTTCTAGAACTTCTTATGCCCTGATGTTTTTTAGCCCAGTATGAGTACGTATTAATAATCTTTACCTTTGTACAGATTCTTTGGAATTTGGCACGTATGACCACATCCATTGGAACAGCATTTCTTCACTCCAGAACATTCACTATCAGCTTCACAGCTTTCAACACAGGCAGCTGCAAAACCACTGGCCTTCTCAGGTGCTGGACAATCCCCTTGCTTCACAGACAGGATATACTTAAGGAATTCACAGCTAGTTAGGCATTCATAATTCTTCTTGGGGAAAAGAGGCTAAAGGGAAAACAAAAGAATTGTATCAAGTTTTCAACAGGAACAAAACCAACCAAAAAAAAAAAACCCCAACCACTAGTTGTATGTTTTCCAAGACCTCCTAAAGGAAAATTCAGATTTTCAGCTTTTGCAAGACTATCCCTGAAGGTTTATATATTCAAGCCACTTCTAAAAAAGCATTCCAAGTAGTGAATGATGAATTCCCTCAAGTAAGATCACCACCTTTAATGGGATATAGTTGTTTATATCTGCCAGTTCTCCCTTGTTTTCCTCTCATTGGCTGTCTGCAAAGTTGCTCAATAACAGATTAAAAACATTCCCAAAACACAGAGAAAGCAATGGTCAGTCTTTTTCTTGGACTATCCCACATTCCTCCCTTTGTACTTCATAAGACTTTACCCACAACATCTGAAGTAATGCCACTCTAGATTAATAAGTGAAATCTTGTTTCCTTATACTGTCTGAACTCAGTTGGCTAAGAGATTTTGCAGCATCTTTATGTTCTTGCCAGCATGTTAGTAACTGTGTAACTCTTTATGGAACTGGAACTAAATTTCTGATTAAATGATCAGCAGAAAATACAGATTAAAATAAGCCCTAAATATATTGATTAAAGATCAAAGTAAATGCTCCTCTTTGAGAAATCAAGTCCTAGATACATGAGAGGTTGTTTTAATGCATATTTTCTAGCATGTGTACTACTCAGAGGTTTGCAAGGTTCACTTAAAACTGTATTAAAAATAGCATATAGCACCCTGGGGAGAATACTGTGTGTGACATGGGGATTTAATCTCTTATTTACCTTGTGCTTTATTAAATTTGGTGAAAAAACAGCTAAGGTGGCTCCCTCAAAGTGATTGGTGGAACTATAGGTGGGCAACCCATGTAACTGGAGTTATCTACCGGCTGCCTCCCTATCTCAGAGCAACCAAAATCCTTCCACTCTGAAGGATTTAGATCTGATTTAGAGATTCCTAAGCCTACACAGGAATCCCACAGGAAACCCACTTTCCATCTAACTATTAATGAAACTTCTGCAACTTCCTTTCACATTCAAATGTTTTACTTTCTTATTTCTACTGTACTCATATTTCTGGCAAAATGAGAGAGACTTCACTATTATGGAGGCCCAAGTGTTTCACAGGCTGTGTCAGCTTATTCTCCAAAGTCACTGTGGTGGAAGAATGTACCACTATGTTACCTCTCACATCTTGTCCTGCAGAACAGTCCAGAATTTTTGAATCAAGCTTTTAAGGATGTATTTGGGTGTTATGGCTTAATGAGCCTAAGGGCTTCCAAAATGAGCAGTCCTTATATCTGCTACTGACCCCAGTGATCCTTGGACACGTAGTCCTGCTGTTCCCACTATTGGAATGCACCTGATCCCATGGTTAGCCAGTTAAGAAGCTAAACCATCAGGAAACTGAATTTATGGAAAAAAATGTGTTGGGTAACTAACTGTCTCCTTTTCTTCTTCACACATCAGGTTCTTTCAGCATTAGTACACTTATTCAGTAGATAAAAAGTAACATATCAAGCAAGTTTCTCAAGTTTCCTTGAGAAACACAAAGCTAAATTGGGTCTTCCAAATTTTTTACAAATTGTGAAAAGACTGAAAACACTCTCAAAGGAAAAAAGCCTTGTTTAACTCAATCAAACAATGCGTATGGAGCATACGTGGGTCTGAACGAAAGGAAAGTGGTCCCGTGCTTTTGTGTGTCTGTGAAGCTAATTTCAAATCCTAAAACATCACAAATTTGCAGCTACTTAATTAAAAACTTTATAGCTCCCCGAGGCATAATACATCCTCAAGGCTACTCCTCCTCACCCTATTACACAGCTCATTTTTCAGTTAGCTGCTAAATGCGCTGCTCTTCATTATGGGCCTTTGAAGTTCTAAATTTAGCTTCAACCACAAAACACTAATCAAAGAGGGATGCTCACTGGTTTTAACTACAATAGAACAGTGTTCTACAAATGTTTTCCTTTTAAACCAATTTTATAGGTATTTTCACCCATATCTGGAAACATACAGCCTGAGTGAGAAGTGATATAGGAGAATGACATAAATTATATCCACTAAAACTGCTTTATTGCACTATCCTAGTTTTGTATATGATGAAGCAGCAATTAATCTGGGTTAAAGAACTCTTACAAGAAATCATTTTTATTTTTTCTTCTAATGCAACTGCACAGGTCAGTAATCCCATAATCTCTATTTACACATAGTTGGATCTATTTTTTTTTTCTTTCTTGGGGAAATTACTGCTTTTCCTAATCATCTTCATGATGCTTAAAATCACTTATACATAAGATGTGCTCTTGTAACAGAAAAAAAGTGTCCACAGTGATGAAGAAGGAGTTAAATCAATATATCACTGAGATCAATATATCAATTAAGGTCACTTCTATTTTTTTATAGGAGAAGCTGAAATTCTTCATAAACATACACTTTCATAGACTTGAATAAAATTGTAGCTTTATATTGCTTTAGTTACAATAAAGCAACTTTCTATTGAGATGACATTTTCATTTTGTACTAAAAAACACTTAACTGTAACAGCTGAGTTCCACTAACTCAGCAGAGCCATGTTTTAAATCCAGTAAAACCACCTCCTTTTTTTGTACTAGTTTAACCTATCTAGGTTTGCTTATTCACAATGTTATTCTGAAACATCATTCAGAAACAGTTTTCAAAATACTTGTTCTTGAATAATTTGTATTTTGATAATAGTCTTCTGAACTAGGAGTCCACAATCCAGTTACTCCTGGAGAGATACTGTTTCAGAAATCAGATTTTTCACATACAGAAAAGCCATCTTTCTAGCTACCCTGCACAAGGATTTTCACACAGTAACATTTTATCTTTTAAACAAAGATACTGTTTCTTACGCTTGGCCAGAAAAGATAGAGGGGAATGTGGTAGAAATAGCATCTTTAGCAGTATCTTCTGAGAGATGTTACGTAAGTGTGGCTGGATCAAGTCTTAAAACTACAAGTTAAGACAAATCATTTGGTCTGGGAAAAAATCCTTTAAAAAAAAAAAAAAAAAAAAAAAAACCAAAACAGAACTTGAACTTATTGCTAAATTGTTATATGTGTATCCACTCAAATGAAGGTGAATGATGTAAACATCCCATGTTTGTTAGCTGTCTCATTGAAGCTAATAATTTAAATGAAAGAGACAGCTAGAACAAAGTGAGAAAAGAGTGCCCTTGGGCTGACATACCTCACAGAAGCTCTGGCAATGGTTTTTCTTCAGGTCCCAGGACTCTTTGCAGGGCTCCAGGCACTAGGAAGAATCAGGAGGCAGAGAAGTGTCAGGAAGAGAAAGAAATAAACAACCACAAATGACTCTATTCCTTTTCCAGTTGTTTGTTTGGCCCATAGAAAGTTAATAATAGACTTCAAAAATCCACTTCTCCCGAGGATAAGATTGTGTCATTGAGCCATGGTGTCAGAGCAAGGTCATACCAAGCCATGGTCGGATTACAAGAAATATTTTCAGTACTTCTTACCGTGCACGGCAATTGCCTCACTTCTTTATATGCTATCCTATTTTCTGCCTTATTGAAACTGGGTCCTAATGCCATTTAACACTGTGTCACTGGGTCACAGAGACAATGTCAAAAGCATTGCTCTAAACTACAGAAAGTTAAATCTTCTCTTCACTGACCAGCCTAAAGATTAGATTCGATGGGCACATTGCCTTCCCAAGCAAGAAACTACTTCAGTATGTAACGGAGTAAACTCAGCAGAGTTTTAACCAACATTCCTGTATAAATAGACAATGTTCACTGGTCTGTGAGCAAAACCACTTTATTTCAAGTACCATATTATCAATTCTTCACCTTCAACAGCAATGGTTGTACAGAGAGTTGAGATTCAAACTCTGCAAACCAGAGTCAAGCTTCACAGCATAGCATAAAGAAAAATCAATCACACAACTAAGAGATTTATTGCAGCTGAAACATAAAATTTACTCACATGCAGAAACCTTTTCTCTTCCTTTGTTAGACCCACGATCTTGGAAAATACTAGCATTGTTGGGAGTTAATAACACCTACTCCTTCTGGTAATAGGAGAAAGATACTTATTGCACAAAAAAGAAAGGCCTGTGACGTGCAATTTAGTATTTATATCATTTGTTTCTCTTATACTTAGCATTAGATTGGATCCATATACACTTATACTATTTAAAACCAAGCATGAATATATACAGGCTCTATCTCAGCTCTCTGAATGACAGTAATCTCAGGTAGAGATACCTTTTTCCTCCATGAAGTCTCTCCTGATGTTTTTTATATGGAGAGGGAAATGTGTTCCAGATCCAATGTGTTATATACATGCTAGCTCTGAAGAAGGGCTATTGTGTATATGAATTTGAAATTTTCCAGACATCTCAATCTTCCAATAAACTCTTTACCTGGTTCTCTTAAACTTTCTCATCCCATTTACGTGTCACACTGAGCTGCATCTTTTATGTGAAAAAAGTTGTGGGGTTTTTCTCATCTTTGGCATGCTCTGCTGTGAATGTTTATCAAGATGAGTCTATTGACAAACATACATTTTGCAGTGCTCTGTACTGTACTGTAGTAAAACATTTCACCCTCCACTATGGAAATTCCACTTTTTGAGTCCATCTAGGCAAGACAAGTGCCAAGTTGAAAATTCTCTCAAGAAAAAGCAGAATCATGCCTTACATCAACAGCACCTGAAGGTTTTCTCACAGGCATTGTTCTGTGTATAATAAAAATTAAAATCAATAAATGTGAGTCAGAACTAGTGGCAATACATCATTTTTCTTAAATCCAAATCTTCAGAGAATACAACAACAAAAAAAGCATCTTAAAATTTAAAATTTGGAGAATACATTTCTAATAATTTCAATGAATCTCAGCCAAGGCCTGACCCAAAGCTCCCTCAAACCACCAGGAGCCATGTCACCAGTGTTTAGCTCAGCCTTGATGTCTGAAAGGAAAGCACACAGCATTTCTCACCAATGAGAACAGTTTCAAGGAAATACCTAAAACATCTATGAGAAAACTATTCCCACCCAGCAGGTAAACACATCCAGGTTTTCTGGATTACTGTAAATGTGTGTGCCTGTTAAAAGGATACTGAAATCCTCTAACCCAAAATGAGAAGGAATCTAAGCCAAGCAGCAGCTGGTTTTGGCTGTACTTTTTGCAATAAAAAGCACCTTGAAGACATTACCACCCACCCTCAGAAGCTAAACTCAGGTACGTAGATGGCAGACCACCAGCAGGCAGGAGGACTGCAGCCCGTTTGGCAGATGTCCCTGGTCTCTTGGAGCCACTGCTGCCCCAGCACCACCGTAAAGGCTGCTCTACTGCTGGGGTGGGAAGAGGTATGAGACACAGCATTGAACCATTATTATGGTTCACTGGCCCTCGTTATGGGCCGGTGGCATTCCTCAGATGGTGATGGGTGTTAATCACGCTGGCCTTGCTAAATTGAATCCTCTTAAAGGACCTGTTTTATCATCTCCTGTGGTTAAATCTGGAAGTTGTAGGCTTGCTTTCTTCGTTCCCACTGCTGAAGAGCTGATATTCAGTACTCAACAACTGCATCAAAAGCCAAAAGGAGTGCTAATAGAAAGCACCCCAGCATTTGTCCTTCAAAATTTGTGCATGTGGGTACATACACACAGACAGAGGTATAAATACATATATCAGATACTACTTTCTCTCTCTTATTATTCAGACTGCATAAAATTAGGAACAAGGGCAAAATACTGTTTCATTCAAAGAAGAAGGATTACTAATGCTTTAAAATATTTTGGGTTATAATTTTTTATTTAATTTTTTAAAAATTGCAGTTAAGGGCCCTGTTAGAGAAGTCTTCTTTTGTTCTAATTTTTAAACTACAAGTAAACCAACTATGACATTAGCGCATGGTGCATGCCATTTACATTAGTGAAAGGGTTTTCAAAATAATCCACCATCACATTCGTTCAGTTGTTGCCTTTGATGAGTTACTCCAACGCAGAAATTTTGAAAGTCTAATGAATTGTAAAACATCATTTAAGTATTGAAATAAATGTTTCCAAGACTGTGTGTTTATTCAAATATTATATTAAACTTAAATAGCTGAATACAGCAATGGCAAATTTATAACTACTTAAACAGCTAACAATTATTTATTTCAGAGTAGAAGAGTCTTCCCAAAGCATTTTTGTCTCATAAGGCTTCTTTCTTCACTGAAGTGAAACCAAGTCATATGCAAACTGTTGTAAAAAGAATGGAAACAAAGTGTTGCAGTTGGAATATAATTGTTCTTTTCATTATGGTTCACCAACCCAGTTGCTCAACAACAGCAAGGTAAGAAATTAATAATTTATGTTTGCAGCATATATTTGAGGTTTTTGCTGGTTTAAGGTATTTGATTAAAAGGAACTTCGATGGTTAAAAAAAGGAAAAATGACAACTTTCAGTGTAGTCTCCCAAGACCCTGCAATGTCATGAAGACAGGTACCTGAAAAATGCATGTACTTACTACCAGGCACTGAGCACAGAACATTCTTGGGGTCAGGAATTTAACCAGTCAAAGGAGAATACAGTGTTTGTCACTCTCAGAATATAGTGTTTATCACTCTTTATCATTCACTTTGTGATGCGTATACTTAAATACGTGACTGTGCCCAAAGGAAATGTGAGAAAAGTGATTTTCAATCTGTACATCTTAGCACAGTGGCAGTAAACACGACACAAAACATAAACAGGCAGCATGATAAAAATAACTAATTTTGAGGGTTTTTTTAATCTACATCTGCTGTTTATCAATAGGAATAGAAATTGTAACTTTCTGTATCTCAAAAATTTGGACTGTGGATTGGAAATGTACAGTTGAATATTTACCCAGTCCAAATTAATTAATAGCATGCCAGCTTCATATTGGGTACTAGCAATATCATATCACAGAACACACTACCTTTTGAACAGTTTGAACAACTGCTTTTCCTCTTTACTATGAGTCATGAGATGCAGGATGTGTTTGCTGAAGCTATTTCTGATGATAAAACAGAGGAGAGGCATCAGGAAGATTTATAATCTTAAAAATTTTGGCATACCAACCTCCCATTAGTTCTGGGTTATATTTTCCCAGAAGTTCCATACACATAAAAACCCAATCTTCAAACATTTCTTCCTAGAAGATACATCTAATTTATTAATGCCAAAAAGAAATATCAATATTTAGATTACTGTTTGAATCAAAGACCAAATTAGATTCTCCAACTTGAGGCATGCATTTGATTTGGTACTTTTAAATTTAGGAGGACGTGGTGTAATTCTAAAAGCTATACGTATAAGAAAATAACTTAGGAGAATAGATTATTAATTACGCATAAAAGTAGGTGAGAATCACAACTCTCAAACAATTTGCAATGAAAGATAAGTATCCTGAGATATGACCAATGAGTCCATTATAAGGACCGTGGCTCTCCATTTCAGGAATGTACATAATTGTCAGATCATTTCATAAAAGTCTATTTATACATTGTCTCTCAAATTCCTGTGGTAATGCATGTCCTCATAAACTTTAAGGTGGGTATTTTCCTTCTACAGAGTCAAGGCAGCTTACTTGAATTCTGCGTAATAAAAGAGGTGTGCTCAGTTACGAAACTGAAGTTAGACATACTCTTAAACATCCCTGTTCTATCTTTTTAAAAATGTTTTTAACCAGTTTAAATTTTTGACCAGCGCTAAGGTATAGGCCATCTACACACCAAGAATATACAGGTGGGACTGTTTCATAATGTATGTTACAAAATGAAAAGTTCAAATAAACAGAACTATACGCTGTGAGAATTTCAGGCACTTAGAGTGAGGAATGATACAGAGGAAGGTAAGTGAATCCAGAATCATGCTGCAGTTCTCAAATGCTCTCCAACACTCAAGCTCAATAGTTTGATTGATTTGGAAGCTTCATGTGAGTAATTCTCCACAAGAGTGGTTCATGGTATCGTGGTATTTCCCTCAACCTTGTGGGTACCTTTCCTAGAGATCAAGTGCTAAAGGTGAGGCACTGCAGAACTTCAGGTATGAGCAATTTCAGATGCTCATATACCCTCTCAGGTAAGTCGTGTACTGTACACATCTATCTTGTTTAAAAAAAAAACCCAAACATTAGAGATGCACTAACAAATCAATTCCTCAGGCCAAAGAATCCACCAGCCCAGAGAGGAGTGTTCAACAGCAGAATCAGTAGCTGTCATATTAGCTTATAAGTTGATTCATGCTGCTCAAGAAGCCTCGCAGCATTTTGTGA